TTATCCATTCTTAAAAGGATGCTGTTACTTCCAGTAACAGAACTGGAGACATTATGTTAAAGGAAATAAGCCAAGCACAGAAAGACAAATGCCACATGTTCTCACTCAGTTGTGGCTGTTTAAAAAGTTGTCATGTCAGATAGAATAGAGGTTTTTAGAAGTTAGGAAGCGGGAGGGGAGGCAGCTAATGAGAAGGTGTATAATTAGGACCGTAGACAATGGTATTAATTATGCACTTCAAAACAGCTAGAGAGGAATGTAAAGGTTGGGAACATGCAGAGGTGATAATATTTGCTGTGATAGAAATGTTAATTATCATGATTTGCTCACTTCAAATCATAAACATGTCTTGACTTACCCTACCCACAAATAAGTACATACATGTATATGTATCTATGAGACTCATATTTATATTTAAAATAAGGAGTATATTTTTTTTAAGTTATATGGGTAGGTCCCAAATACCACATGAGACTTTCTTATATGCCCACAAATTATTTAGTCATTTATTGTTCATCTGCAATTAAAATTTTGTTTAGCATTCTTTAACTGGTGTGTTAGCTAGCAAAAGAATGAGTCCATACTTAAGTAGATGTTCACACCGTGCTGAAGCTGGTGTTGATCCTGCAGTCCTGGACTCAGAGTTTTCATGAGCTTTGACAATTAGGAATTTGCACATACAGCTAGGTTACTTGGGCAGAATTGTAGATATTTATGCCATGGGCATTAGGCATGCTCTCTTAGAAGAAGCTGAGCTCTGGTAGCAAAAGAGTTGACCAAAAAAACAGCCATGCAGCATTTTTGTGGCCTTGGTATCATAGTCTTGTCAGCAAAGTCATGGGTTCTGATTAAACCCAGATTGAGCTGTTTCCTGTTAGCGTGCTAACCCACAGGGCAGGCTCAAGCCTCCTTGTCTGGCTTTCCAAGTCTGACTTATTAAACGCTTTTCTGCCAAGGGTTCTACCCGTTTCTTTTAAACTTCAATTAGAAGTTATTAAGATAATACAAACAAAAATTGGTTCTGAAGTCTCTTTAAAGAATTATGGACCTATCGAATCTTTTGCTCTGAAAACTAAACTTTAACATTTTGGTTTATCCAGTCTGGTACATGGCAGATGAAATTTAAGATATTCTTTTACACTTATTTATTTAGGGGTGTGTGTGTGTGTGTGTGTGTGTGTGTGTGTGTGTGTGTGTGTACACCATGATGCACTTGTGGAGGTCAGAGGACAACTTCTGGGAGTCAGTTCCCTCCTTCCACCACGTGGGTCCATGGTATTGAATTTAGGTGGTCAGTCTTTACGACAAGCACCTGTACCAATGAGCAATCTTGCCGGCCCAGTGGATATATTTTTACATCTCATTTCTGTACAACTTCATTTCAAAATGATTTCAATAATCAGCAGATAATTTTAAGTCTTTATTTGTTTGTTTTGTGAAAATGTACTCTGTTTGAATATTGGTCGGTTAGAACTCACCTCGAAGCAAAGCAAAACAAAATCCTGGTCTGTCTAGTGACACCAAGCAGCCTTTAGGGTATTCATTAAGAACATAGAAACTATAGGAAACATTAAGCAAGTGCACGGACCACTGCAAACTCATTGTTGAGTTTTGTAAGAATGATTCCAGCCAGCAGCACAACTCTGTACTTTATTTTATGATACTGCGGCTTGCTCATTGCATTCACAAATAAGCCTCTAGATCCGAGCACCGAGCATGTTGTATTAGACGGTCTCTTAAGTCACCATGCGTCTTCCTGACGCACAGAAAGAAACACCAGGGAGTAGGAACCAGTCAAGACACAAAGGAGAATCATGCGTACAGACGGAAAGGAAGCAAACACAGAAGAGGAGGCTGGCTAGAGCGGCCATTCCATTCCTCAGGGAGCAGCTTGGCGGCTTGCCAGATCTGCTCTCTGTGGGGACCATGTGGTCACATTCTCTGACAAACACTTTTCTCCATGTTTGAGTTCTTCGTCACATCAATATCAGTGAAAAATTAGTTCTTTTAAGCCATCACTACTTTCAATAAGAAAAGTCTAGTTTTCGAGTGGAGTTTGCATTTCAAAGTAAGGTAAGACTCATCAACTCACAAAACTGCTTGGTAAGGGAGCCCTGGCATTATCACAAAGTAAGGAAGCTTAATTTAAAATTAGAGTCTGACCTTTCCTCCCAACGAAGAGGCCGTGCCTCGTGCCAGGAACACTGGCATTGAATGCTTTTTTAACAACTACTGCATTATTGTGTAGGCAGGTAATTATTTTGACAGAGTCTTTGAAGTACAAAGCAAAACCTACAAAACATCCTTACATTTTAGTATTACATTAAGAAAGAGATCAAAGAGGTCGGGCAGTGATGGTGCACGCCTTTAATCCAGCACTTGGGAGGCAGAGCCAGGCGGATCTCTGTAAGTTTGAGGCCAGCCTGGTCTACAGAGTGAGATTCAGGACAGCCAGAGCTGTTACATGGAGAAACTTTGTCTCAAAAAATGAAAAAAGAAAGAAAAAAAAAAGAAAGAAAGGAAGGAAGAAAGAGATTAAAGAGATATAGATGTTTTTAGATAAATGTTTTTTTATTGTATTTAAAATTTTATTTTTACTGTTTATTTATTATTATTATCTATGTATTGAAAAAGGGTCTCATTTTGTATTACAAGCTGACCTGGAATTTACTGTGTAGCTCAGGCTGGCCTTGAATCCTTTTGCCTCAACCTGTGGATGACTGGGTGGATCAGTGTGAGCCATAGGCCTGGCTAATTAGCATTGTATTTTATATGTCTTCACTTATATCTTTCTCTCTTAAAGTAGGAAGTGGTACCTTGTAGTTTATTCTGAAGTTGTTTAAGATGCTCTTAGAATAAAGGGGATGGACACGGGAATGTGTATCATACGTACTTGCTAGAGTTTAACGTCATATGTGGACACATTGAAGCCTAAGAAAGTCAGCAATGAAGAAATGTCTCTGACTTTATTGAACTCTGTAATCTCCAAAATTGACACAAAACCTTCTCTTAAAACAAAGCAAAGCAAAACAACCTAATGTTTTACAGTACATACTCAAAGTAGGGCTGGTACCTAGTAATTAAAAACGTAATTAGAGTTTGAGACATCTGTCTTTCACTCATTGTTTCTGCTCTAAGTGAATTGGAACTTCTGTGGGACAGATGGACACTATGGCTTAACCTTCAGTAACACCATACAGAGTGGAAGAGAATAGCGCCTAGGCCTTGGTCAGAGCCAACAGTCCTACGAGCCCTAAAGGAGACCTCTGTCCTTGGACATTTTTCTTTCATAAACCCTTTATTTTATTTATGTGTGTATATGTGTTTGTATGCACATGCATGCATGTGTGCCACATGTGTGTTTATGCCCAAAAAGGTCAGAAGAAAATACCAGATCCCCTAGAGCCCAAGTTACAGGCTATTGTGAGCTGCCCGGCATGGGTTCTGGGAACTGAAATTGAGTCTTCCGGGAGAGTAGGAAGTATGAGCTGCTGAGCCATCTCTCCAGCCTCATCCTCAGAAAACTTAAAAAATGAAATAAGGAAACAGAGCCATGCACCACTTACACCGTAGCCCTTCCATCAGTTCCCATCAGCAGTTAGACAGAACGACATCAAGCTGTTCTTCTAACCTAACGTGGGTGCTGCCATGCGGGTCTCTCTGAAAGCAATCCCTGGGTTAATTCCTTCCTGCAGCTGAACTTCTGACAGGGCAGGCGAAGGAAAAGCAGATGCAGAACTCGGGAGCCACAGTCGTCATTAGAGACTCCTGTCTCTTTTGTCACTGTGATTTCCGTAGGACTAGTTCAGTTTAGGACTTTGGGCAACCTAGCCTAAGTAATTCAATTTATAGTTCAGATAAATTGCCTGGTAGTTCTTTGCACCAATGAGAGTCTTTGCACCAATGAGAATAATTATTTGCTTTGGAAACAGATTTATTGTAGAACTCTTGTAGGTCAGTTTCTTTAGCACCCACGAAGGAGTTCAACTTGGAAATGACATCTGCTTGTAATTAGCTAGGCACAGAGTTACTGAGAATGCAAGGCACACCCTTATTTTTCTCAAGTTTGATTCTCTTCGCTCATCCTCAGTTTTCAAACCCTTCACGTTTTATCACCGATCTTTCCGCATTATGGTTTATGTGTATTAATGTACAATGACACCTCCTGATACTGTACGTCTGCTTTTCTGTGCTAGCTATTTCTCATAAACACATATTCTTCTGGGTTTGCAAATTTCCCGAGGGCAGGGCTATCCACCCACCACCCTTTCTGTTGTTCCCCTGGGAGGGCTCCATGCTGCACAGGACAGCTGTTTCTCACCCAGTTCTCTTGGCTGCTGGTGGTATGAAAGTAGACTGTACATTGCTGTCTATGAACTGAAGACTGTTAGATCATGGTGAGATCTCCATGTTGTACCATTGGAAACAGACTTCCACCATTGCTGATTTTTCAAGCTGTGACCATGATGTCAGCTAGCTCATACAAACCCTATGCATATATAATACATATAAAAATGTATATATATATATATATATATTAGTGTGTGTATGTATGTGTATGAAAATGTATATATAATTTTAAATCAATCAGCTTTCCAAAACCATTATGTGTTGACTCTTCTGGCATACTGTGGTAGGCACTGTCTTTAAAAATGCGTTTGAAGACTTTAACAGTACAAAGAGGATCCAGTAGCTGACATTTGCTAAACTCTATCTGGGCGATAGAAAACGTCTTTGATAAAGTATTTCCAGCACCTTGCTGTAACTAGGGATGGAAGGAGAAGCTGTTGCATAGCTATGAAGTAATAATCTCTCTTTCTTCAGAGAGAAAGGGAAGCTATCTCCACACACTTGCTTCCATGGTCACTATTCTGCCACACTGTGTTCACAGGAGAGCACACTGCTTTATGGAACATTCGAAGTTGTAGGAGAGTATATGGAATCACTGACTTTAACTATTACAGCATTTTCAGAATGCTAATAATGGATTTTTCCCATAGGTTGAAGGGGACCAGCTGCCTCCAGGTCACACAGTCAGTCAATATGAGACCTGTAAGATCAGGACCATCAAAGCTGGCACTCTGGAGAAGCTTGTGGAGAATCTGCTGACGGCTTTCGGGGACAATGACTTTACCTACATCAGCATCTTCCTGTCGACCTACAGAGGCTTTGCCTCGACTAAGGAAGTGCTGGAGCTGCTGCTGGACAGGTAAGGTGAAAGGGTGAGCGTTGAAGCCAGCCTAAGGCTGCACCTGGGCACAGAGTGTGGTTCAGTGTCAAGGGCACTGGGAAGGCCGGAGGGAGGAGTAAGGAGAGGGGCCAAAAGGGCCAGCCTCTGGAACTAGTGGCATGCAGAGAGTCAATTATATGGTCTGTTTCCAGGGTAAGGAAATCTCATTCAAAAAGTTCATAAAGGCTGGATACGGTGGTACATGCTTCTAATCTTGGTACTCGGGAAGCTGAGCCAGCCCGGACCACGTGGCAATGCTTTGTCTCAGAAGCAAAAGAAAAACCAAGCAATAGCTGAAACCTATACAAAATTTCAATAGAAGAGTTAAGTAGGCATTATAAACATAGAGTCAACTATTTATAAATTTCAGTTTCTGTTGCCACCCCCTAATTTCAAATTTGATACAGATTAACCTTCAGTTTTTATAATTTCTGTACAAGTGCACAACCAGCCAGTAATCTCCTTGTTCTGGGGACTGAGTGTGCTCATAGGTATGAAGTAGAGCTCCATCCTGGATCCGGAGGAAGCAGCTGACGAGTCGGGGCTTTGGCAGTGGCAGTCCTGACTGTCAACACTCACGTTGTATTCAGTGTTACAGACATGTATGAGTGACGTCCATGCTCCATGTCAGTAAAGAACCTGTGTACCTGAGCACTGTACACTGTAACTCACGTACGGACAAATCTTTTTGTCTCCCCCTTACTTTTGTTTTATTTATAAGAACTTAGACATTTATAAATGTATTGTTGTGTTGACTTGATTCTGAGAAAAGAAAACTGTCAGCTAAACAATTCTTTCAGAATCATGAGACTCCTCACTCAGATCCTTGTAGTCTGGGGTTTCCTGCCTAAGGAAGGAAGTGGGAGCCAATGCTTTTGTTAGGCTCGTTATATATATGGGTTTGTATGTGTGTATATGTGCGTATGTGTGCTTAATTTTAAAGGTGTATGCAATTATGTTGAAAGTATTAAAAATTCCTATACTATGGAAGGTATGAAAAGGAATATTAAAGTTCTCTCAAATTGCATTTTTCTCAAGTAACACTTACTAGGTTTTAAAATATAAATATTAGTACAAAGAACAAAATTAAATAAACCACTATCTAAATAGGCAAATAATGTAATATTAACAATTAAAAATAGAACTAATCCATATATATGGTGAAAGTTCACACAATTCAGAAAATTATAAAAGCAAAAAGTGAAATTTCCTTTTCTCTTGGTTTCCTAGTTCCATTGCACCATGGTGATCGTTTTTCATTCTTCCCCAAAATTTATATATATATATATATACATATATATCCCTAATATACAATATGTCATATATTGTCTTTATAGGCTTATTTATTTATTTATTAGAAGTGTTTATTGAGTACATTGTAAGAGGGTACTAGGCCTAGCAGTAGCAAGAGCACTTCCTCCTTATATAGATTTTTTTTTTTTTTTTTTTTTTTTGGTTTTTCAAGACAGGGTTTCTCTGTGTAGTTTTGGTGCCTGTCCTGGATCTCGCTTTGTATACCAGGCTGGCCTCAAACTCACAGAGATCCGCTGACTCTGCCTCCCAAGTGCTGGGATTAAAGGTGTGCGACACCACCACCCAGCTCCTATATAGATTTATAGCACATACATCATATAAACTGAATCAAGCACAGTATACAATGTAGCCTACAATTTTCATTTTTACATATTTATGCATTTTGGAAATATTTTTGTTTGTTCAGTGAATCAGCATATGTAAAAGGCTTATAATAGTGGCTAGCATATTGAAGGTTCAAGAAATGTAAGTTATTATTTCAAAATAAGCACATATAGGTGGATTTTCTAGCTTCTTTTTTGATGGCTTTCTAATACTTGCTGAGTTGATAATTTCATAGACAGAGAATTAAGCACTTTCTAGTTTTTAAAATTCTTTTTAAGAATTTGTGAGCACAGTACTGCAAGGAACATTTTTATGCATACACATAGTTTCTGGATGCTTCTTGAGACTCTGATAGGATAATCTCATAGTAGAGTAACTAATGCACCAAGATGTAGAGTTTTAGAAGCCTGCCAGATTGGCCTCCAGAAGGTTGCACCAGCCACACTGCTGTTCTGAGCATCTTACCACAGGCAACATTCCCCAGCTGGTGATGGTCTGTCTCTTCAGCTGAGCTATCTTACTATGATTTGACTGTTGACAGGTTGTTTTGGGGTGCCTGCTTCTTGTGTTTACAAGTAGAGTTTGCTATTTCATAGATACTTACTGATCATTTGTTTTGTGTGTGACCTCTTTTCCTATCCTATACTCTTCCCTTTGAACTATTTTAATCGAATTATTAATCATCTAACTGTAATTCTTTGTATATTAAAGGAATTGGGTTTTTTTTGCTTATAATTGTGTTGGAAATATTTTTTCCTAATTTGTTCTTTGCTTTTAACTTCTGTTCATTAAATACTGGTGTATAACTATTTTATGTAATAGTTCTGTCTGTCTTCAGAAAGGCTTTGAATAAACAACTTTCTATCCTAGGTTATGGTTATTGACAAGAATAGATTTGTCCTCAAAGTATTTGTTAGCTTCCTGTCACTATGACACATAGCTGTCATAATCAACTTATGAAGGAAAAAGGTCTGTTTTTGGCTCAGAGTCTCAGATGTTTCATTTTGTGGTCACTTGGCTCTGCTGCTGTCACAGTGTGTCCTGGTGGGGATGTGCAGTTGAGTGTGTCATGGTGGAGATGTGCAGTTGAATGTGTCCTGGTGGGGATGTGCAGTTGAGTGTGTCCTGGTAGGGATGTGCAGTTAAGTGTGTGCTGGCGGGAATGTGCAGTTGAGTGTGTCCTGGTAGGGATGTGCAGTTGAGTGTGTCATGGTGGGGATGTGCAGTTGAGTGTGTCCTGGTGGGGATGTGCAGTTGAGTGTGTCCTGGTGGAGATGTGCAGTTGAGTGTGTCCTGGTGGAAATGTGCAGTTGAGTGTTTCCTGGTGGGGATGTGCAGTTGAGTGTGTCCTGGTGGGGATGTGCAGTTGAGTGTATCCTGGTGGGGATGTGCAGTTGAGTGTGTCATGGTGGGCATGTGTAGTGGAGCAAAGCTGCTCTCACATTCAGGGACACTCACGAAGCATATATTCTTTATGGTACACTGATATGGCCATGTGTCGTGTACTACAGCATAAGGAGCTGTGCCATTTTCTGCATGACAGGACTTGAGAAAATATTAATCCTGGAATAACATATGAGTTTGGTGATTCATTTTTTATTGTGGTTCTTATATAATCGTTCATATCTGTAAGTAGAAATTGGAGAATTATGTGAATTTTCTCTTTCCAATACTTCGTAGCTGTAAAAAGATGGAGCCTGGTAACTGTTGGCAGGCAGTGTGCGGAAATGAAAATCCCTTACAAGGTCACTTTGAAATCGGTGACCTCTTCTCCACAGGAGGTAACTTCACTGATAATAGCCCACAGATGTCCCCAGTGCATAGAGGAGTACACATAAGCTCCAGCTGTCTGTCTTAAAGACTGGACACACACACCAGGAATTAGAGTGTTTAGTCTATGACTTTTATTTGATGATTTTTTTAATGTATTTTCATTGTTCTATGGATGGACAAATTGGGATTATTTTTCAAACACTAACTGGATAGCAATGATTAGATCTAATCTGAATTCAGGTCGCACTGAACTCAAACTATCAGTTGAAGTATAGCTAAATGGAGAATAATGATTTAGTCTGTAGCATGTGAGTAGGCTTAAGGCTGGCTTCAAGTGTGATCTCATAGTTCAATCGGTTGCTTGTTTCTGAAATGAGAGGATTACGTGCTGAATACCTGTGCAATGTAATACGAGGAAAGCGCTCTGCAAGACATCATATATCGGATATAAACGACTTAGCTTCTGCCCTGAGGTGGTTCAGAAATGGAGTACTATGAAGCGGCTGGTGCTTAAGCTCTGGAGCCCTTCACCTGCAGGAATCTCTCCATGATTCTGTATTCTTAATTTTGTATTCCTTTTCCTTGGGAGGATCCCTCAGATTGCAAAGGCCAGTTCCATCAGACTTACATCCACCCTTCAGGACTTAATATTTTCCTTCACAAGAGAAGGTTGCCATGCACGGACTAAGTAAATCATCGTACTCAGTGGTATAAAATAGAGCTCTAATATGTGCTGGTGTAGGAGCTCAGAGAAATAAATCCCACTTATTTTGCTTTCTCTGCAGAAATTTAACCTTGTCTGTGTGTGTGCCAACCTCAACAGGAATATTTCTTCCTCAGTCCATTTCTTACTCACACTGAAATCTTGTGGCCATGTTTGAAGTCTCCGCAGAAAGCCAACTGTTATTTGGTGAAATGCTGTGCTCCTAAATTGGCTGTTAGGATTTTTAATGCCTATGATGAAGAGGGAGCAATTGATTGTCCAGGCTCACCTGTTCTGAAGATGAGCATTTGAAATATTGTTTTCATACCCATCGACTGGGAGACTCCTTTGGGAGCCTCAGGTAGAATTTATAAGGTGTTTCCTTTGCTGTCTGCCGTGGATGGAGAAGGAACATGGGACGCTGATTGCAGTATGTGCTAATCCATTAATAACCAGACCAGAATAGATGCATACAGATGTTGCATTGTTTATTTCCCACCAGAGCACGGCTTATTTGAAGTTGAGCTTTGATTTCCCTTAAGACTTCAGTTGTGGTTTTTCATGTAGGGAACTGTTTATTTTTTGGGATTTCTTTTTAATCTTTTCATAGTTGTATTTTTTCCCTTTTCTAATACGGGTCTGTGTGATTGACAAATAGACAGTGGTCTGAAGTCATGAATAGCTAATGTCATGTTACGCTATCCTCTGTTGGGGTGATGGGGGCCTCACAAGGGCTCCTGTTTGCTGTGCTTTTGCCGTGGCCCAGACTTAACTCTGGATTTCTTTGCTTCCTTTTCACCCAAGAGGAAGTTACTTCATTGGGGTTTGACTGTGTTGGGGCTTTGGGATTTTATTTTCTCTAATG